TCTCAAACCTGAGGGTAGCAGAGAACTGAACTGAGGCAGCTGTAGGGCATAGCCACCCCATTCAGTCTACAGCTCCATGAGGATGAGAAAGCCATCTGAGGCCTGGCACAACCACCCAGCTGACACCACTGCAGACAAACACTGTCCACAGCCCCAGTTGGAACAGCCACTGCCTGTGAACAGGCCACTGGCTGAATCATGAGAAAGACCCATACTCTTCCAGACTGGGCTGCCTGGAAGAGAGCTGGCTGGAGCATGGCTCCTCTTACCCATAGATGTCCAGGATGCCAATGGAGGTGTGGTATCCCTCAGGTGACCGCAGAGCACGGTTGACCCTACTTGCCATCCACCTGAAGATCTGCCCATACATATACTTAGCCAGGGCATCCCGGGAGTCAAGTGCCTGCTGCCTGGACAGGGGCTTCATGTAGGTCTCTCCAGTGGTGACCAGCTTGCGGTAGCAGAGCCAGCGTGACACCTGTGATTCCTCAATGCCCAAAAGCGTGCAGAACAGGCCCAGGGCTTTGTCTGTGGGCTGCAGACAGAGCCCCATCACTCCAAATGCTGGAGTGGGAGAATGCTGCCAGGGTGGCCCATGCTGGGCTGGAGATTGTTTGCACAGCATGGCCCATAGCCAAGGTGCAATTCCTGCAGCCAGAGCAGCTCAGGGACTCTGAATCTGGGGTCATGCTGATGGGAATGCAGCCAGGCACTCTGCCAGGGCTCAGGGCATCACCCACCAGCAGTAAGCTGTCACGCACCTCAACAAAGCAGCCATCTCCATGGCGGTCCCTGCCCCTGACCATGATGTTGCCCAGGTGGAGGATGGCAGTCAGGACACTGAAGAGCTCCAGCTGCTCAGTCTCCAGGACTCCTGCCAGGCACAGACACAGTATGATGGGCACCGCCACACCTGAAGCTATGTGATACCCCACCAGGCTCTCCCCACTTGCTGGTCTAACCTTTGCATTACACAAGCCAGAGGGGATGGAAACACCTGGGAGTGGAGAAAGGCTTCCCAAGTCTGCCTGATAGACAGTCAGGCTCCCTCACACCAGGACACTCAAAGAGCAAATGGGTGAAGGTAGTGGACAAATAGCTGCATGGACCAGCCCACCCCATACACAGGGCTCCCTCACTCCAGTGCCCAGGGAAGGACAGTACCCAGGAGCGAGAAAGCATGACGTGTGCTGTCCAGGTCAGCAGCATCATCAGTGCCCTCCACATGGGTGCACTGGCCCTGGGAGGTGTAGCGGAAGGACTCTGCTCCACCTGTGGATGAGCAATCAGTGAGCATCAGCTTGGGAACAGATGCAGCCAGCCTCCCAGGTGCTGCTGGGCTGGCTTAGCTGTTACCCTGCCCCAAGCACTGGGGTGCCCACCCACAGTAGCAGAGCAGGTCCAGGGCCTACCCTGCAGCACCTAGCTGGCAGCAAAGGTAGCCCTGCACCTGGCCACCCAGTCAGGGGGAAAGGCAGAGGAAGGGGAGGGGACCAAGCACTGTTTGTCCTCAGCAGTGAGCTATGCTGTGTATGTGTGTTTGGGGGGGGG